TTTCCCTTCACTGAACTGGTTACCTGCTAGTGATGTTTGATGGAGAAGGAGCAGGAGCAGGAGCAATCTGACACGAGCTCCACTTTGATCTCTAAATTCTGTTTTTTATTAACATATCCATTTCCAAAAAGAAAGTTATCCCATTATTTAAGAATTAGGAATAATAGATAATGTCAATAACATTATCTAGTTCCAAAGTCCAGGTGCCTGAGGGCACACAAGCTAAGGAGGACAAATGTTTTATTCCTTCCTTTGTATGCTACCAAGCGTTCAATGCAATTAAACTGTGCAATAGGAATAATGTGATTTACAGAGAACAATGCTACCTGGAGCCTGCTGGGTGAGCTGCGCGTGAGCTACACGTCTATGTGCATGTGTATTTATATGAAATGTAATACGCCAGCGATCAGCTTGACTGGTACCGTTTTTAGGACTGCCTTTTATGTTCAAAGATTAAGCTGTTTGTGTTTACTTTGCTTTCCAGGATAGGAGAGCATATTAGCATATGTGCATTATAAATGTCAGCCTTCCCTTTTCTAGGGCAGTGTTGACATACCACACTGCAAAAATAAAACAGAAGAGCAAAGAACCCAGCAGAAAAGCACAAACACTGGGAGGTGGACAAGGTTTCCCCTGATCAGACACAAAACAAGGAAAACTTGATTTGGAAGTTCTGCTCCAGGCTCTGCTGGTGGAATTTAATTTTGAGCATGGACATTTTGGCTTTCAGGTCTCAGCTAAAACATGTGCGGGTGACATGCACTACATACTTGGAACCTGAGGACAACGCACCCTTGAAGAACACGCTGATTTTCACTCATTCACGCTCTGTCATCCAACTATTTGTCACAGTAGGAACTCCTCTCAGCCCTACTCTTAAATCACTGAACGTCTGCCACAGACAGCCCTTTGTCCGAAGTCTTTCAGTCCCTGAAAAACCCCAAATTTGCCAACATACGCATGTCCTTCATAAATCTTCCTACTTGAAGATCTCCACGTTTGCTAGAAAAAGGGAACAAAACTTAGGCAGGAAGTCACACCAGGAAGACGACCTTCAGCTCTGACCAGCTGCCTTCCATCCTGGCCTGAGCTAGTGTCAGGTTGACCAGAACATCGAGTTCCTGGAATTAGCGAGAGCGTAATGCGGGGGAAAACGACAAAACCATAAATTTGCTGAATCCCATTTAAGTATGAACTTGATTTGCTAGCTGGGGGTTTATCTGCTTCGTTCTATGACATTTCATTTATGTGAGAGTCTTTTACCACAACTTCCTACTCAAGAGAGCAGCATATTTCTCCCCTGCTCTCTTGTGCAAAACTGTGACCACAATGCATTTTCCAGATGCTTGTGATAGGGACCCTGAGAGTAATGAGTTCTACTGAGATAAATAATGAGTTCTTACAGGTTTAATAGCATCTTCTGCTTACTAAGGGCAGGTTTTACTTAGGTTTATTTACGTGACTTCTAGACCTGTACCTCTCCAGGTGAGCGTTAGGTTAGAGCATTTACCTGGGGGGACAGGTGAGCACTGTATAATATTGAAGTGCCTGACTCCCTCTGGTCGATACTCGCCTTGCATTACTGCAGCAGAAGTCAGAGATGAGGACAAATCTCTGCCAGTGGAATACGCTAGTTGAAATGCATGACTTTAAACCCAACCAATCATTGTAAGGTGGTGTTATGTCCTGTTCTCCACCCGACGACTGCCATCGTGTCCCTGTGAGTTCACCAGGCCTCACAGCTGAACACTGTGAAATGTCCAAGTCCTACTGTGGTAAAGGTCACAACAGCCTTGTGTTTTGGGTTTCCTACCACCACCACTACTACTTTCTCTCTCCAGACGTTAACAGTTTAAAATACTCATTTATCACACTATTAGTGTTTCTGGATGAGGCCTCCTGTTGGAGGCCACCTCTGGCTGCACAGGGCCCTGTTCACGTGCGGGGCGGCAGTAGCACAGGCCACAGCTGCCCCATGTGATGGGGCTGGGCTGAGCTAACGGTGAGTGACCGTTCAGTTGTGACCCTGCCCACGAGCAGCCCTGGCACAGGCAACGCAATAACGAGGGATGGTGGAACCAGACTGCAAAGTAAGCTGGAGAAAACCAGGCCCTGACTAATCCCTGGGTAAGTCTGACACAGCCCACCTCCTTCCGTCGCCTCCTGTTGCCTGAGGACTTTCCAAAGCCCCTAACAAGTAATGAAGGGAGGGATGCCGTTCTTCAGTGATGGACTAGAGCAGCGAGACCCAAATTTGTTATCATCATCATGCTGCAGTGTAGCAATGACCCAGGTGTGGCCACCTTCCTCAGCCCTCTCAGTGACTGGATGCTTAAGAGTACCTTTGTCGTGATTTGAGTGAGCCTCACTCCCTATTTCAAAGGACATCTTTTTCTAGAAAGCTGTGCAAGGCTCTGAGTTCAGTTCTTCTCAGACTGTCTTCCTCTAACCCATGGCATGATGGAAGCAACTGACATCCCTTTCTCATCTTTAGCAGAATCCCCATAGAAATGATTCAGTCACCTCTACAGTCTCTTCAGGTGGCCTAAGTTATGCTACAGATTACATAATTTTACTCCAAGTTTGTCAACAATTTATAGTTTCTAATTCACAAGGCTCAATTGCTTTGTGCCTTCTGCCCAGGAAGCTACTCCCTCTTCAGTTTCACGTATGATGATTCGTATACTGATAGCATTCAAACTTTGGACCTACATAATACGTGGGGCAAACAAAACTCTGTGCATCCTCGTCTTGCTCTATAAATACAAAAGGCTTTGCAATAGTATACAATCATACGTGGCAGACGCAGCTGAAAGATGAAGGAAGCGAAGAGACACCCAAACTGCACAGTAGTGTTTAGCGCTCAGAATTTGCCCTTGAACACAATACTTTACACAGAGCAGACGTGAACCCCTGGGTCAATCTGCAGTAGGAAACGCTGAATGCATATGCTGATGCAAGGCTACACTTCGGACAATTGCTTCTTTCCTTTGGACAACAGTCCCTAAGACGTGCCATTATTATTATTTCATTGTATCAACGTCTTTTTGGCATTTTGGCTAAGATTAGAAGTGCAATCAGTCAACTCGCTATGTCCTTGAGCACAGTGCAGGCTGCCTTGCAGACTGATGAAATCTCTGATCTAGCAGTTCTCTTCTCCTCTCTGAACTAAAAGGTCAAAGAACAATCAATCTCTTCTTCTGGTATTACCAGAAGGGGTACGATACTGTTCAGGTGTGGTATTTACTTTGCACACTAGACCCTTAGGTTAAAAAAATCTGAGGGTACAGGAAATAAGTTCTCTCTCCACAAAGTACATGAATTTTTAAAAGCAATTTTCTACCTTGCTTGCTCAAGGGTGGCAGCGTTATAAATTTGTTTTACTGAAACTTTGGGGGTGCTATAACTCAATTACTATTAGCGTGCCCACAATCCCTTTTCACTATAGGAAGATGGACTTTGATTCTGTGTAACTGCGCGTGCATAACTGACCATCTTAGCTACACAGAGTCGTATATATTCAGGGAATCTTCCTCCCTCAGCAGTGGCACAACGGCATGACCTACTACAGGGACTCAGATTTTTTTTTTCACAAAGGAGAGAGATCTGATCCAGCCCGCATGCACACAGCGCCTTCCCACAGACAACACAACAGACCTTGCAAAAAATCTGCTTCAAGCGCCAAAGACGTTTCTCCTATCTGCCCATACAGAAGACAGCCTACTCTGCTTTTTTCACTTAGAGGCATAAAACAAATCTCGACTGTGTCCACGTCACCTAGACAACCACTTCATCCAAACCACAACACACTGCCGAAAGGACAGCAGCCACCAGACCGTGGTCGTGGTGGAAGACCCTGGCCAGACCGGCTGGACATCTCCCCTGGGGCCGCGCAGCTGCAGTTGAGGCTCCAGTCACGGCTACGGCCCAAGAAGTACGTCAGGTTCAATATTTCTTTTGTAACAGGAAATCGTTGCTTCATTTGGTTTACTGATTTCCAGTAGCTGCTCTTCCTCTAAACAGCTATTGATCTTAATTTTGCTTTCAGTCTATTCTGGAGTAGCTTTGCGTGGGATTATTGCTACTATTTTTCTAACCATCCCGTTGGACACCGTAGCAACCCGAAGTTCACCAGAAAGCTATATTCAGAGGAGAATGACCTCCGAATTAGATGCTTAAAGGTCATTTTTAAACTTTGTATCATCCTTTGCAGCTGAGACCGGTTTCAAGCAAGAGAGTTTGCACCCTTTCCAAAGGTAGGATAAGCCCCCGACCGCGTGGGCAGATATTTATCAGAGCAATGTTTCCTACGTTTCCTCTTGATATTTGAGCGCTCACCGCTGCTGTGGCCTAAAGCCCCTGCTCAGGGTGAGACTCACTCACACGCTTGGGATAGATGCATTCAGTCTTGCCAGCACAGGAACACCTCAAGTCCTAAAGCAGGTCGGGGGCTTTCTGAGGTGCTACAGGTATGCAGTAAATGCTGTGCCCTGTCCCAAATAACTGGGAGTTTAAAATCTCCAGTTCTGAGAAGAGACTCATCGGCTTCACTGATATCAGTGAAAACATGGTGCGACAAACACTACCGGCCTCTGCTGATGCCCTGAACTTTCGGAGGCTGACAAATACGTTGACACCTTTCACTGCAAGAAAAACGCTATCTCTAGGCTTGCTCCGTTTTGTACTTTCTTCAGGCCCCCAAATTGTAACAACGGCAAAAACCAGTTCTGTGCTTCGAGTCCACACTTCCCTGCAGTTCTCCACATCTGGAAAGGGACCATTTAACTTTTTCCCGATGAGAAAAGCAAGCTCGGACCACTGTACATCTGCAACGGGCAAAATTTCTCAGTCTGCTGTCTTAAAGCGCGCCCCTCGCCAAAACTCACTGCTTTCCTCTGAGCCGGAAGGGTTTCGTTATTCGGGGGTCTCCTCGTGCCACAGCTCCCCGTCCCACGGTGCTGCCAGTGATGAGCCTGGGTGGTGGCCACGTCACTAATAACCGCAGGGGTCACAAAACTCATCCCTCGGCACGGGGGGGCTCCGGCTTTCCGAGCAGCGCGGGATGGTACACTCACTTGAAGCACTGTAGAAACAAGAGAAAGAAAAAGAAAAGGAAAAGTCACTCTTCTTTTCCTTTGGCA